CATCCTGCCCAGTTAATCACAAACTGTGGTTCTGAACAAACCTTGTGAAACACAACTACGTTTCATGGCCTGAGCTGAGCTGCGCTGATCTTCTGTTTTTTTTGTCATTTATAGGCTGAGTAGGTAGAATGTTATTAGCTGTTTAGCATCAATTCACATTAGAGTTCTCTGTTAGATATTAAATTTAGCTTTGATATACCTCAATGATCTGTCTATCTCAATAATAGGTCTGAAGACTTAATATTGTACAGATTCCTGGTTGATTTCTGCAAGCTCTGGAGCACTGAGGCGGTAGTAAGGCTCTCTGATCACCTTTCCTTATAGGAGGTAGGCCACTTCTCCAGCAGTTTGGCAGCTGTTTCTGGACCAAATAGGAGGCTAAAATCTTGATCTATCAAACTTGTGTGCGTGTGTTTGTGTGTGTGCGTGCATGCGTCTGTCTGTCTGTCTGTCTGTCTATCTGTCTGTGTGTGTGCGCGTGTTTCTTAGCAACAAACTTGCAAAAACATCCATAGCCACGAAATCAAAAAGTTACAAATTGCTGTGAGATTGCGTTGCACTCTCAGCTTACATCATTAAAAAGAAAAGGGCCACATTGTCCCCCGATAATGTCAACAGACTGGACTGTTTTAGCAACTGGCTGAATGTAAAGGAGGACGGAGTAAAATTGTTTCTACTTTATAATTAACGTTCTCAAATCACAGCAATACAACTTTACAATGAGTACAATAGTTTGTATTCAATACTTTATTGTTATTAGAATTTTTCATTTTCCATATCTGCAATGCCTTTATTTTGGCATTTTTTTGCAGTCCATTTAGAATCCAACCTGGAATTAATTTTTTTTCTTTATTGGCATTGATTGTTTTGAAATTCAAATGGCACTAACATGCCTGTGTTTTTATTTCTGTAATAAATATGGCTGTCAAGCCAGGATCTTGATGGTTTATTGTGGGTATGTTGTTTACATGAAGAAATCTGTGTTAAAAGTTAAACAAAAATTCTAATGAACAATCATATTTTGAATTTAAATAGTTTTTGTCTGGCGTTTACATTTGAATAGCCAAAATTACAAATTTCAGTCTTTTAAATGTGATTAATCACGATTAATTTAAAAAAAAAAAGGTGCGATTGATTAATAATTAATTAATAATATATATATATATATATATATATATATATATATATATATATATATATATATATATATATATATATATATATATATATGGTATAGGCTGCCTGATTAATCGTAAAAAGATCATGATCTTGATTCGACCCTACACACAATCTTAATTCAGCTTTTCTACGATTCAGTCAATTATATTTTCAAGGTCAGGAGGGAAGAGTAAAGGCGGATGCACAAGTCTTCACAGCAACATGGATGTCTTCACAGCAACAGTGTCAAATACTTTGTTTATAAGGTATAATTCAACCAGAAATGTGTTTTTTGTTTAAATGTAATGATGTATTTGCAGCTGCGAAATCACCAAATTCTGTGACCCTAGTAGGCGGTGTTCTCACTGTTTGGCTTGAACTCACTGCCACTGGCACCGGCGCAAACATCATTTTGATCAGGGGTGCTCAACCCTGTTCCTGGAGATCTACCTTCCTGCAGATTTTTTACAGATACTCAGTTAGCTGGATTTGGTTATTGACGATTTGACATGATCCAGGATCATTTCGTTCTTCAAAACTGATCCCAAAGTTGTTGTTATAGCAACAGTTCTGCTAGCTCAAACCTAATCGGAACCAGGTTCAATTCATATAAACAGGATTAGATTTAGATTAGATTTTAAATATAAACAGGCTCAGTTCAAGCAAAGATAATATAGAAAGTATGTACCGAATTCTGATATTTTCTTAAAGTAGTAGTTATACACCTGGGAATATAGTAAATATTTTTAAACTAGGCCTATATACAAAGTTATAGTTATTAATAAAATAAATAAAGTTATATACATTACTAAAACTCATGCAATCTGCACCCCCGAAATAAAAGTACAAAGACTGCCACCTGGTGGTGCAAATAAAAAAATTATTGATATGAACTTTTTAAAATCGCTTTAGTACAATTTGTGTATGATAATAGAAATCCACAATATGTGACTTTTTTAAAAAGCAATAATACATTTATGCAGTCATAAACATGTTTTGACAATTATTATGATGGTGATTTGATGCTTCATAAAAGTTGCAGACACCTTTACCAATATCAAAATGCTTTTGCAAACATCCAGATATTCTTTACACCAATAAAAAAAAAACAGCTACTATAATACTACTATGGGTACTATAATAAGAAAAATTCACTCTGACTATAAAACTAAATAAACTGCTCTTGACACATGAAAGGGCCAATCATGCAGCCCACAACAAGGTGTAAAGTTATTTTGTATCATATTTAACAAACCGTTTCCAATAAATGTTATGTAATTTTGCTCACATGGCTAACTGAATATTAATCAGATGATGTCATTACGCTGCTGTGCCATCAGCCAATCGTTGCATTGCTGATCATGATTTTGAGGATTGATAGATAAGTGTTTTACAACACACGCAGCGATCTCAGATCAGTTCATCCAGACATTTTCATCCGATTCACAAACTTGTTTGAAAAACCAAATTAGCCAGAGATCAGTTATCAAGATTAAAGAGCCCATATTATGGGTTTTTGAAAATGCCCTTCCATGTAGTTTGTAACACAGCTCTAAGTGAAGTTAAGTATCCAGCTAAGACTTAAATCTGTTAGTGTACAGTGTTTAAAACTGTTGATTCGTCTATAAAAGAGTCGACTCATAGTGCTTTAAACGAGTCGCCTTGATACAGAGTCATTAGGTGTTTCGCCATGACGTACTAACGAAACCAAGTTATTCACGTGCACGCGCAAACCCGGGAGATTTGAAACCTGTGGCCCCGCCCTCTGACATAGAAACCCAGACACACACACACACACAAACATGCCGGTCGATTGAAGTCACACTGCAGATGGATATTATTGAGTCTCTACCCAAAGATGAAACCTCAGCATTATAGCCAAGCAGTTGGAAACTTCTGGAAACTACATTCTACAAAGAATACTTCATCGGCATTTGTTAAAGGAAGGATCAGTAAAGAGTAACTTACTCTTTACGGGTTTCTTCCTCCTTTTCTCAAGTGTAAGTATGTGCGATTAAAGTTGTTGCCTCGTTTACTCTAGCTTGCAAATGTATTTAGTTGTGATTTGTTACTTGTAACCGTGTGTACTGTATCAAATTAACTCGCTTTATTCTCATATCGGGTGCAAAGGCACGTTTAAAACGCGACGCGTGCTGCTTTGTTTACGGAGCTCCGTGGAGGAGGAGTAGTGTGTGTGTCTGTTTGTGTGTGTGTGTGTGCGCGCGTTGTCATCCGGAGCAGGGTTAAGTGTGTGTGTGTGTGTGTCTGTGAAAAGAGCAGAGTGAGACAAGCTAGAAGATCTCCTCAACTGTTTTTGGAGTTTTTGCTCAATAAAATAGATAGACATCTGTATTTTCAAGTCCATCGTCTGTATTTACATTGACCCACTGGCAGCTAAAATCCACGCCTACACTATCGAGCGTGTATGAACTGTGATTACTTTTATATTGCTGATTAGCTGTTGGGCATTTTACTCTCTGACTGAAGGCAGTCAACCAATCGCAACAGACTGTCATCGGTCCAATTAGCGCAGATTAGCTTCGCGCTAAGGAGGGGTTTGGGAACAAATGAATCACTGGACGATTCATACAGGAGTCGCTGGGATAATTAGGTAAAAATAAATGCAGATTATAAGACCATGAAAGTGTTTTTTGACCTTACATACATATTAAACTGTTGATGGAGACCCTTAAAACCAAAATATGACCCTATCTCATGTATAATATTAAAAGATCCAGGATCTGCAAAATCATCTAAGATCATTTAAGAGAGCTACAATGAACGGACCCCTGGTCCTAATTAATTGGTTCAGGTATGTTTGATCTGAAGGAGCTGAACTCTGTAGGAAGGTAGATCTCCAGGAACAGGGTTGAGCACCCCTGATTTAAATGATCATATCGCATTTTACAGTTATGATTACGACAAGCATTTGATATGTTTTTTTTTTCTTTCATAGCTAACACAAAGTGTTGTGCATGAAAATAAATGTTTACTGTGTCAGTATAACTAGCCTATATGTTCAATATAATGCAAGGAGGAATCTGATAATGACGTCTCATTTAACAAGTGAAAACAAATGGTCTAATAATGTTGTCAATGACAAATGACAAGCATATGCCTCAAACATAATTCAACTTCAGATATATGAATAGTTATATTCTGATGTTATCATTTTACTGTGAATTAACACACAGGACAGATTTAAAGTCTTTTCAAGTCCCCCATAATGACTATACAAAACTTTGCATTTTAACCAATAGTAGGCCTACATACACTCTAAAAAACGCTGGGTTGGTTTTTTAACCCAAATGCTGGGTTGAGACTGCTGGGTAACAAAATTGGGTTGATTCAACCCAATTTGGGTTGAAAATCTATCTTTATCTATAACCCAGCAGTGCTGGGTTGGGAACGCGGACGTGAAAGAGAGCACGCACGTCACGTCAACATGCAGGGACATCAACGTGAGAAACCGCCATTTTCTTTGCGCTGTCTTTGAGGGGAAGCGAGTGAAATTCTGTGTGAGACGTAAGTTATTTAGTGTGTATTTAACAATTTTCATAAGAAATAACACACTTAGTTTACTTAGTATAATATACACGCGCTTTTTTTTCTGTTTCTCCGCCTGATGGCCGACTTGTTGCTCCGCCTCACGCTGACCTGTGCTCGCCTTATGGCCGAACTGTTGCTCCGAGTCCGCCTGTTTCTCCGCCTAACGGCGACCTGTTTCTCCGGACCTGTTTCTCCGGATCTGTTTCTCCGCCTAATGGCGACTTGTTGCTCCACCTAACGCCCGAGCTGTTGCTCCGCCTAACGCCTGACCTGTGCTCGCCTCACACCCGACCTGCTGCTCCGCCTCACGCCCAGCCTGTTGATCGGTGGACGGGAAAGCGCGCATGGCATCGGAAGGAGCTCGAAAAGTATAAGGTAACTAATGAAACTAACGTGAAGCATGTTTGATGACCACTTTATAAACACAACACCTAGGATAATTTAGGAGCTTTTTATTGTAATAAAATGCCTTTTAAATGACACAGATTTTTATGTTGGCTAGGTGATGACAGTAAGTAACGATACTGTGATTTGTGATCTTTCTGGGGTGTTAACTGTAAAGCAGTAAGTAGTATTTTTACTCTTGTATTTCTTAAGTTTGTTCGTGGATTTTTGTGACCATACTTTGATGCATAAGTGTTGAATTCAGCATTTAACAATGTTTTTTTTTAATCAAAATATATACACTAATTGTCCTGCTCTGCATGCATGTACATTTTGTTTAGCTGTACATTGAATAGCAAATGTTATTAATTTACTATGAGCATTTTACATTCTAGACGTGATTTGAGATATCTTTAATTAATCCTGTATGTAAAGGTCGTTTCATGCAAACGGAAATGTCTGAGCTAAGGCTAATTCCAACCTAATCATCTTCGACTGCAAAAAGAAAAAGTTTGACCACCGTTTTATGTGACACCCTGGATAATAATTATCATTTAGGAGTATTTTTGTGATATAGTGACTTTTGGCTAACATGATCTTTTTTTACTTAATTTTGCTTAAACGCTTTTATCTGTTATTCTTTTTCAGATGGATAATTGCGTGAAAATCAAACTAAAAGAATGCAATCTTGAGGAGTTAATCCCCACATTTGAAGGTATGTAATAATATTTTACTTGGTTCATTGTAATCATTAGGGCTGCCCTTGTCTAAACATTTGTCTGGTTGACTTGTAATGTTCATTTGAAGCATTAGTTGAATAATTACAGATTTATTAATAAACCATTTATTCATTAATTCATTTTCTTTTTGACTCAGTCCCTTTATTAATCTGGGGTCGCCACAGCGGAATGAACCGCCAACTTATCCAGCATATTTTTTACACAGCGGATTCATGCAGCATACATTGACTTTGCCAGTGTAGACTTTTTTTCTGCAACTAGTGGGTAGCACATTCGCCTCATAGCAACAAGGTCACTTGATCGATCCTTGGCTGGGTCAATAGGCCTTTCTGTGTGGAGTTTGCATGTTCTCCCCGTGTTCGCGTGGGTTTCCTCCAGGTGCCCCGGTTTCCAAAGACATGTGGTAAAGGTGAATTAAGTAGACTAAATTGTCAATGGTGTATGTGTGTGAATGAGTATTTGTTTCCCAGTGATGGGTTGCAGCTGAAAGGGCATTCGCTGCATAAAACTTATGCTGGATATGTTGGTGGTTCATTCCATTGTGGTTACCCCAGATTAATAAAGCGACAAAGCTGAAAAGAAAATGAATGAATGAATAATAAATTTTTAGTTGACTAATGGTTATTCAATTATTAGGGGGCAGCCCTAGTAATCATTAGCCACTTCAACACTTTAAACTGAGAGATTAAACTCTAATGCCAATTTGTCTTTGTCTGGTTATTTTTAAAAATCTGCTGTTCATGCAACCAGTGACATTCTCTTGTTTTATTTTTAGCACAGGAGCGAACCTTTCCTCATTTTTAGGTCAATTTGAATACAATTCAGAGGGTAAGGATTCAATTAAAGGTTTCTCGATGCATAATGATGCATTTAATGCATAATGATTGTCTTAGTTATTTTATTAACAATGAAAATGTTATTTTTATGTTTGTTATTAGGGTGGCATGGGGGCGCAGTGGGTAGTGCTGTCGCCTCACAGCAAGATGGTCGCTGGTTTGAGCCTTGGATGGGTTTCCCCTCCACAGTCCAATGACATGCGGTGTAGCTGAATTGGGTAAGCTGAATTGTCCATAGTGTGTGTGTAAATGAGAGTGTGATGGGTTGCAGTTGAAAGGGCATCTGCTGCGTAAAACATAAAAAGATGACGGTTTTGTGAAAGTTGTGATTTGGTCACAGCTATGGTTTCTCAAATTTTTAGTGATAAGATGCTTTTTATCGATAGTGAATGCAACAAACTCTAAATGGCCTGTAAGCCAATTATTTTCATTTAAGGAGAAGTCCACTTCCAACAAAAAGATTCACACATAATGTACTCACCCCCTTGTCACCCAAGATGTTCATGTCATTCTTTCTTCAGTCAGAAAGATTTTTTTTTTAGGAAAATATCTCAGCAATTTTATCCATCGTGGACTGAGATTGTGCCTCATTTTTGAAGTTTTTAAAGAAAATTTAAATGCGGCTTCAAATGATACAAATACGGTTGCAAACAGTCCCAGCTCAGGAAGAAGGGTCTTATCTATTCTCATTAAGAAAACACAATTAAATACTTAATAATTTCAAATGCTCATCTTGCCTTACTATTACTTATTAAAAAAAGTTCCTTAGGCAAACCTGTTGTTGCATTGTCATCTTCACTCGGGCCAAAAAATTGCAGCATGGTGCCATGGTCAGTGGTTAACTAATGCCAACACTGGCTGATAGCTTGGTGTGTTATGGCCTTAATTGCTTCTAAAGGTATTTTAGGTGTTCTAAAGTTAACTCTAAAGATATTTAACTTTAACACTTTTGAGTTTTTAATAAATCTTAATTCTATTTATTTTTTCAGATTGGGACCAATATTGCTGAGTATCTTCATCCATTGAATTCAAGAATCTATTAAGTTTCCTCATGTTCTCATCCTTGGAGACCACCACTTCTTTCAAGCCTTTGCTCACGTGCTGTGCTATTTATTATTGCAAAGTACATTACTTGCCAAAGTGGACGTTTGCTATAAAGCATTCTACATCTTTGGTGTAAACTACCCCAAGCAGTGTTCCCTGGTGTGGCAGACTGTGGTTTATGGACATCCTGGGGGGGGGAGACAATAGCAGTAAGGGTTCTGCTAGCATTAATTTTTGCTGACAAACAGTAATCATTAATACTGTGACCTCACTGCTTCCTTGGATTCTGTGTTCTTTAACTTGTACTTTGGATTGTGGGGGAAAAGGAGCACCCAGAGAAAACCCACACGAACACAGGGAAAACATGCAAACTCCACACAGAAACACCAACTGACCCAGCTGAGGCTTAAGCCACCGACCTTGTTGCTGTGAGGCAATCGAACTACCCACTGTGCCACCATGACACCCATTTCTAAAGAATAGTTTTAATAACTCATTTCTAATAACTGATTTCTTTTCTCTTTGCTATGATGACGGCACATAATAATGGACTAGATATTTTTTAAGACACTCTACACTGCAGTTACATTGCAACTAATGTTTCTTACAGACTCTTTTATATCTCAGGATTGATGTTTGCACATGATTGTTCGAGTAAAAGTTAAAAAAAGTTTTCCTATTTCAAATTTGTTTTAAAATGCTTCCATCCTCAGGTTTCATTTTAACTTTTATATCTGTTTTTTCTTCAAAACTGCATTTACATTGAACTTGATCATCCTTACTGATGATTGCTTTATAGCTCATATATTGATGTTTGCACATAATTGTTAAAAGGGAAAGTTATAAAATGTTTTCTTATTTTTTCTTAATATAAAATTTGTATTTTCTCAGTTTTTATTGTTTGTTTTGTTTTTTCAAGCTGTTTGATGCCTTTTCATTATTACTTTCACATAATTTTTTTCTGCATTGCAGTTGATGATTTATATGAGAATATGTTGATGTTTGTGCTCAAATTACTTTCTGACTTCAGTCATTTAGATGCATTTTTATCATTACTTCCTTATACTATTGTTTTTCTCTACTCTGCAATAACATTGCAATTGCCTCTTTCTGATGATTCCTGATTTATAAATGATGCAAATGTTTTTGAATGTATTTCAAATATGCATTTTCTTAAGGTAATTTGTCTGATTTCAGTCTGATGCATTGTTACTGAACTTTAGTCAGTGTTTCTGTGATACAGTTTGATAAATTTTCATAGAAATCGTCTTAACCTTTTAACTACCCTTTCAAGAAAAAAAATTGGATTGCATTTCTCAACTACTAATGTCGCTATTGAACACAATCAGTACATTTTAACACATGTTATAATTTCTAAAATATCAACCTCTACCAAATGATTGATATGTATGTTTATGGTAAAAGTACCAGAATTATGAAAAATCTGAAAAATTATGTGTAAGACCAATTTAAAAAAAAAAAAATATATATATATATATATATATATATATATATATATATATATATATATATATATATATATATATATATATATATATATATATATTTAAAAGAAATATTTTGAACACTAAATCATCTTTTTTCTTATGACTTTAACAGTCATTATTTAAAACAGTAAAAACATGGTCAACCATTTGGTAGAGCAGGCAGTCAAAGGGTTATTGCTGAGGTGCAGATGGTAAAAATCTTAAATTCATTTGGACACATTTTATCTTTTGTCATAAATAAAATTCCATTACTGAACAACTATGTATTGCTGTAGAATTGTTTTTATTTTAGTGATTTTAATCATCAGTTTCTAGATTAAATTTCTGACCCATTTTGGGTTACATTCAACCCAGCAGTGTAGTAATTTTTAACTAATAGTTGGGTTAAAATCACAACCCAGCATGCTGGGTTAAACTTGTAACCCAACTTGCTGGGTTAAAGTAACCCAGCGTTGGGTTTGTCCCTTTTTTACCCAGCGCTGGGTTACCAAAACAACCCAAATTGGGTTGTTTTCAACCCAGCAGTTTTTAGAGTGTATTGACCAAATATTATTAGTGTTGTTTTACCATATGTTTGAGAATTAACAATAATAATAGCCTACTCATATCAACCTTTATTTTACATCTACAGAATCATTAGGAAATTGTGATCTTGACTTTAAGCAAAACAAATGCAGTCCTAATATATAGGCTATATATACATACAAACATAAAACGTTTTTTTCTCTTAGTACTGTTTGCATCTGATAATAAACTTACATCTTTGGACAAAACACTCTGTAAGGGCTCTTGATCACATTTCATTCATTTGGGTTGTCTTGACAAGTCACTGTCACTGCTACTGCTCAAAACAGAGAAAGAGCCCTCAATGTATTACAGCGGTGCAGATGAAGGCGATGACTAAGATGTGTCTGAATATAACAAAACGTATAAAGAGCAATTAACCTTATCTGTAGGAGGAAAATATTTTTTAGTTAAATTATTAAACATTAATAATGACAAATACATTTGTTATCATATTTGGATATTACATTATATTACATACCATATTATAAATATTGGTAAACTGTAATCTCTATTTTTAATAAAGAACTTTTCTCACACTAAATGATGTTTAAAAGCAACATGTTACATTTTTAAATGATCAAAGTATCATTACTTCACCTGGTACATGCTATTGGTTACTCAAACTGTTACATCAATTGTAAATTTTACCTTCGAAAATGAATTGATCAAAATCAGCAGCCTGTAATTTGATGCAATTCTTGCGATTTTCATACTGCACCTTAATTAATTTGCTGTCAACAGCATGTGACTAGGGAAAAATGCGACATACAGTAGAGCTTTAATTTGATATCTAAATGATAAATATGTAGTTCAATCGACAGAATAACTTTCATATTGCTTATATTACAGTTAAATATCCTCTTTCAGAAAAAAAACGTCCCTTCTGAAATTAAGTTTTCTATTTAAAATGTTCTTTTATGGCTTGCCTTTCACCATAGCTGTCAACATGTGAAAATAAGGGCTAACCCTTTAGATTTTTCGATTAAATACATTAAATAACAGAGGTGTCACTTTAAAAA